TTCAGCTTTTTTTTTGCCAACAAACCAAGTATGTAAATGCAGGGAAATTCCATTCATGACTCGCATGGAACTTCTGGTTGGGCTGGCAATGCTCACTAGCTGCGGGTGAGTTTTTGGCATTTCTTCATGAAATTGCATGGCTACATAAATTCCAGCTTTACATAATTATGTACAAATAGGACTTTTGATTAAAGGTGAGAAGAGTAATATCTGAAAATGTAATGCCTCTGACTTCCTGTTCGATTTTCCATAGACCAGGGGTAGCCAAACTCTGGCCCTCCATCTGTGGTGGATCTACAAATCCAATGAGGTATTGCAAGATCTCACAGCCACAGACATGACTCCCGGAGAGATGCATCGTGGGATTTGTAGTTTCACTACAGCTGGAGGGCTGGTGTTTGGCTATCCCTGACATAGAAGTTCTGACGGTTATCATGATGCCTCTTCTGATCTTCAGCATTCTGTCACATAAAAGATGGGCAGTAACTGCAAAATTTCTCTAGCAACACTTGTGACTACAATGTATCCTGTGGCTGGGTGTTCTCTATTGCAATGTGTGGCTGAGGATATAAGGTCTTTATGCCTCACCTCCGATAGGTACAGTACCTTGAGTAAGCGTGGTCACCCTAAAGGTGGCCATACACTCTACAACCATCGCAAGACTTTAGTCTTGCGATGGTTGTACAGGGATTAAAAAAAAGTACGATCTGCCTATCTTGGACAGGCAGATCGCACTCTCGATCATCGCAAACCCGCCCCCCTGAGGGGCGGGCTTCCGATGACCGCAATGCTGAACGGGCAGTGTGCACACCGGCCCGTTCCGCATTTGTCTTCCGAGCACCGTTCTAACCAGCCGAGAATCGTACGATTCCCGGCTGGTTTTCGAACATGCTGGTTCGACAGAAGACGTGCGACCGTACAGTAGAAACGGTCGCACGTCTCCGTTCACACTGCTCGATTATCGTACGATAATCGTGCAGTGTATGGGCACCTTAAGACAGGAAGTGTTACTGGCAGGATCACCAGGTGAAAATTAAGGTCAAATCCTAAAATGGATGTGGTGGCTGCATTAGTTTTCTAAGGATTGGTGAGCTGTGCAGTATTGCCTTTTGTTCAGAGGTCGGTATACTGAGCTTAGGGTGATTGGAGGACGCTAGTTTGTGTCCTCCCGTTACCCTAAGGAGAACTACGGGGAAAAGACTTAACCCCATAGTTCTCCTTTTAAACTGTCCCACATAGTGTATGCATAGATGACGAGTAGAGCTAAGGGCCCTTCAGCTACATCAAGTTGCAGGGCAAACACTTGATGTAAGAAGGGGACCAGAACATGGTCAGAAGTTAAAGTGTCTGCTGAGTACAAATCACCCTCATAGTGGGAATCTCCCAGATATCTGAAAGTGGGGTTGAGTTTTAGGAATGCTTTCCGTTCACACTTGACATTACTAACTCCGGGTGTGCGTCATGAGTGATGTGTTTTGATAAGTGGGACGGGTCTTTCTTTGTATATTCATGTATTAGGAAATGTATGATAATGCTACATTTGCTAATACATGACCCAGAATTCCTCTTCACATTCCTCTGCTCATTGAACTGTAGGTAGGGCTTATAAGAACTAAAGTCCTTTTACAATGTACCACTTGAAGCCGAATGGGACTTCCAGGTTGTGACGTATGAGCTCTCTGCAAACTACTGATGGGAGCCTTGCCTTAGAATTATTTTTGGTACACAGCCAGACCTTGTTCTATCCATGCCCTTTATACTGCATTCACCAGAAAAGTAACCTCAAAATAAAAATAATGTATTACTATTCTGCCATTATTTTCCTAGTAAGAATCAACCCTGCCATAAGGGTTCTTAATACCAACCACTCCTAGCAATTGAAAGGCAACTGTGGCTATTTTTTTTCCCCACTATCCACTACAGAACAAGAATGTAATTATTACCAATTGCCAGTCCTTGGATGTGGTGGCTGCATTTGATTTTTCAGGATATATTTATTTTTACTTTTACCTTGTAAACCTGCAAATGACACTTTCGGTCCAAGAGTGACAGCGCTTATTCCACTGCAGGGACGGGCGGTCAGGTGAGGCAGAGCCTCGCCTAGTATGGAGGAAAAAGGGTGTCAGCTTAAAGTCTGAAGCTGACAGCTTTTTCTCCATTCAGAGCAGCTACCGTGTTTCCCTGAAAGTAAGACCTAGCGCTATCTTCAGGGATTTCTGTAATATAAGACCTAGTTCGGTGGTAGGTCTTGTATTACAGAAATCTCTGAAGATGGCACTAGATCTTCCAGGGTAGCTGCACATGTAAAAATAGGACTATTTTTATTTTTGGGGAAACGCGGTAGCAACAGGTTACACAGCAGGGAAAGTCTCCCTGCTGTGTATCCTGTCTTGGTCGGAGCACATCCGGCTTTTGACGGCTAAGTTGGGTTACACAGCAGCGGGCTTCCTCATTGCTTGTGTAACCAAACATTGTGAGGAAAGGGCTGCAACAGCCTCTACTCTTAGAGACTTGAGCTTTGTGTATGGTTGAAGTGCCATTGGTCCAAGCTGTCCAATAAAAAGAAAACGGGACATCGATTTCGATGCCTCACCAGTGACGAGCGAGTGAGGGACAGGACCCTTCCTCTACACTAGCTTGGTGACTGGGTTGGAGGCTGCAGCGGGCTGGGGGCATCACCCGCTTACTATACAGGTATATTTAACAGATTCATGAATGGGTCAGTTATGTTCAGCAAATGGGATAGTTCTGGAAGTTACTTGGAACTTTGTTTTCATTGTTGCTTGCATCCTAAGATGGGACTCCTTTGTCTTTTTTGTAGGCAGGACACAACTTTGCACACACGGATATGCCACATGTGAAGAGAATGTGCGGGACTTTCCTTGCAAAGAGCAGAAAGCTGCCAGTCAGGTGAGTCAAGTTCCATCTCCGCTCTAACATTGATGTGCAACCATGCAATAAAAATGGTATGCTAACAAGGCCACCAAACAAGAATCTGTGCAGTCATTTCTCCCCCCCCCCCCCCCCCGAGCATGGCCTATGATTGGATGAAGACTGCCCACATAGGTGGTTCAACAGTCTTCTAATGATAAACCAGCTACATGAATACGACCATAGATCAGTGGTGGCGAGCCTTGGCACTCCAGCTGTGCCAGAACTACAAATCCCAACATGCATCTGCCTCTGGGAGTTATGTCTGGCTGTCAGAGCCTCGCAATGCCTCATGGGGCTTGTAGTTCCAAAACGGCTGGAGTGCCAAGGTTCGCCACCACTGCCTTAGATCTTTTTTGGACCTTAAAACTGTTTTAGGAGTTATCTAAAAACTGGTGCACTCCAAAATATGCGACTAACACTTTCCGGTCAAGCTAATGGGCTGCCTAAATGGCTCGTAGGCAGTGCAGGAGGTGGGTAGTATGTACATTTGCGGACACTTATGATGCTGGCACCTCCTATGTATCTACGTTTTACTTGGAGATTATAGTAATGGGCTTCAAAGCAAACCTGTTGTGTTGCCCATGCAAGGCAAAAGTAAAAGAATTGCTGTCACTATTGGCACCTACCCTCCATCCCTCGGTTTAGCCAAAGCGTGTGAAGAAAATCCCTGGTACTGCCAAGTATGGATGAACTTGTGACTTGCTTTCTCAGTTTCATGACCGTATTGGTGATTGGCCGAGCACTGTCATATAGAGGAAGTGTTTCCTTGGCTTTACTAGAGCTTACACAGGACTCCGCTTGCTCCCGGTGGCTTTATGGAGTGGTGGGTGAGCAAAGGAAAGATCATTTTGTGCTCCTAGGGCCGGGGGCGGGTGGCGGACATTAAACATGTTTGTGCCTACATGGGCTGCTTACAGATTGGCTTTAATGACGCCCGATGAGGGTTATGGTGGAGCTGGGATGAATTTGAAAAAATTAATTATGGGTTAAGTTAAGCCTATTGTACAAGGTCCTCCTGCAGTCTTTTATACTTCAGCTTTTACATTTATATGCTTAGTTTTTGGGTTTCTTTTATCCTAATTACCCTTTTCCACTTCTTCAGGTACAGCTTTTCTGACAGGATGACCCTACCAGACCAGTTTGACTCCCGGACAGCCTGGCCAAACTGTCCCACCATTGGGGAGATCAGAGACCAGGGCTCATGTGGCTCCTGTTGGGTAAGTACTTGTGTCATTTAGAACACTTTTGGCTTGGTTAGAAAGTGCCCATCCTTATGGCTGCTGTCCTACTGTTGCAGAGATTCCTTCCCTGTAACAGTTTACCGTCATGTGTGGCCCTGTCCTAAAGCCACATAACTGAGCAAGTCCCGGTCTCTCCCATGATGCTCAATCTACTCTGTGCTGACAAACCTTCCGCTTCAACAGACGCTCACTGTTGCTATCTGCTTACCCCCCTTATGTCATAATGCATCCCCTTGTATACACAATGGTGGATTAAATACACCTTGGGCCCCAGGCTGTCTTCAATCCATGGGGCCCATTCCCATAATAAAGCAAATGCTGACTAAATATAAGGACTTTTGGTGACTGGTGAACCTCTGGTGATTTGAAGCAGAACTACTTTAAGGTTCAGACATCAAATGCTTTTCTACTCTAATCCCAAAAGGTGATTTGGACACTCTGGCCCGTTTGCCTTATCTTACAGACAGATGACCAGACACTGCCATGGACACTCTGTTGGTGCTGGTAAAGCTTTGCAACCCCTCAGCACTTTAATCTGGCAGGGTCTCCTTTTAAGCAGGCACATTAGAAGAGATGAACTCTTCCTGAATGTTTCTTGCTGTGGTGCTCTCCCTCATAAGGTAATGGCTCCAATGGACGTGGCATGGGACACTGAGCTGACGGCTTGTAGCATGGCCCTTGGAGTTGAGGTTGCAGGATGGCCGTGTGGTGGCAGTGAACAGCGATGTTTTGTCTGTTTATAATCTGCCCCTGTATATACAGTCCTGCCCTTCAGATGCTCCTAGCTTCTTTTGAAATGACAACATGGCTCTAAATTCCTAAACATGTGGTGTCAGCCCTGCCTAGTACAAAGGAACAGTCTCCGCCCCATAACCTCTTTTAGCAAAGGCAGAGAGCATGAAATTATCGGCTTGAAATTTCTGGCTAAATCAAATGTTTGTTTTTAGTTTTGCACTTCACCAGATTTAAAACACCCTCAGTGGTGTACATTTGGATTTTGGCAGCCCAAAAGGGAGCAAATAGGAGAAGGTCATTGTTGGGGGTTTTACATACACTTTAACTTCACACCTCCAGTTCTGCTTAAAGTGTACCTTCTTTACATCTACCAACTATGGAGCATGTGGACATACCTGATTAGATGCAATTTGAAATGATGGGTCCTCGCAGTGCATAATTTTGGTAAATCTACCACATTCATTGTAAAATCGGACTGTAGCCTGTATGGTCACTTTAAGAGCAGGGGCCACAAAGTGGTGGCATTACTTCGGTTGTTACTTGCACTTCTTTGATCTGGTTGCACACAGAAGGCTAAACTTTCTCCATCTCTGCTGTCCCACTATCTAATGAAGACTGTGACGGACTCTCCTGATACCCTGCTTGCTATCTCCGGCCAAATACTGCTTCCCTGCTCGGTACATTCCCGGCCAGCATATACGCTCGTCCCCCAGGAGCTAGACAACACTAGTTTGGGGTAAAAACAAATTGCTTTATAAAAGGAACTATGGGGTTAGGGCTTTTCCCCCATAGTTCTCCTTAGGGTAACGGGAGGACATAAACTAGCGTCCTCCCGTCACCCTAGGCTCAGTAGCTCGCGGTATGCTGAGACGCCGGAGCGGATCCCGACAACGATGTCGAGATCCGCCCACCTGCGTGAGTGACAGCTGGCTCTGCCTATCTAGAGGCAGAGCCAGCTGTACCCTCCCCCTCCCCCGTCCATTCCACCTGTCACCGCTGGCGGATCGGAGAGGGGAATCCAGCCCCTCCCCCTGTCACGGCAGAGAGATTCACTTTAAGTGATGACACTAAGCAGTTGATTGGGATAAAAATAGCAAAATACTCATCTGGACACAACTCGGAGTTGGGGAAACCTCTTTAGGACATTTTGTGCAAACCCAGTTGTTGGACCAGTAGCCCCCCCTCCCCCCTGCAAAATCTATCAGTAAGAGTAAACAATTTTTCCTTGTTCAAAAATTGGTTAGAGGAACACTTTTTTTTTTTCATTCAGAGGCTTACCGGATTCTGAAGCAAGTAATTCTCTATTTTAGGCTTTTGGGGCTGTGGAAGCCATCTCTGACCGTGTCTGTGTGCACTCCAATGGAAAGGTGAATGTGGAGGTGTCTGCTGAGGATCTGCTGTCCTGTTGCGGGATGGAGTGTGGAATGGGGTAAGTCTTCTATGGGAGTTCTATTAAACTTTTGCTTGGTGTCCCTATTAAGGAGTCTCTTGTCCCTCCTTCAGGATCTCACTTGGTTTAATGCCAGCTATGGAATTTTAAATTGCACTTTGCCAAGTGTTCCATTGCCTCTATAGTAGTGGCTAGCCTGGCCTACAGCATCGTCATTGGGGCGATCACTACATAGTCGGGCTTCTGTGTTAGTAGGCGAATCCTCTTCATCCATCCTAGGAGCAAGAGCTATTCTAAAATGAAGGAAATCACTTTGAGGCAGCAAGTGGGTAGAGACCTTTACTGGAGAAGTATGCCGACCTCTCCCACTGAAAATACTACTTCCGTGGCTGTTGTGGTCAGTGGCTTCAGTATTTTCCAAGCTAGTGACCTGGCGCAAGTGTGCAAAAGCTACAGACTTCCAGTGTTCAGAGCCCAATAGCTGAAGTTACTTTGCAGGTGAAATTCTAAGCAGTGAATTCTCCCACACTGAACTGCTTCATTCAAGATGTATTCAATATGGCCCAAAAGGCAGTGCTGTGCTAGCTAACCTGCAGTGCTCTGGGAATCCTTTGTCTTGCATTAAATATTTGCAACACAGATGGTGGGTTAAATAGTAAAAACCTGAGTGGCCCTAATCCGTGACATGCATGTTCAGGTTACTGGCTCACCCTCAAAATAAACATAGCTGATGATTGGGTAAGTTAATATTGTACCTTCAGTGGGTGACTTTAGAAGTAGAAGGCATGTTTTTATAAGGCTACCATCAATGCATTAAGTTATATTGAACCTTTTTCTAATTACTTCAGTTGCAATGGAGGATATCCATCTGGGGCCTGGAAATATTGGACTGAGAAGGGTCTTGTGTCCGGAGGATTGTATGACTCCCATGTTGGTAAGTGTTCTGTTCTGGCTTCTTCTATGTATCTGTGTCATGGGAGCTGACTAATGTGAAATTCATCTCCAGGTTGCAGGCCATACACCATCCCTCCCTGTGAGCACCATGTCAATGGCTCCCGCCCATCCTGTAAAGGAGAGGAAGGAGACACGCCAAAATGCATAAAGAAGTGTGACGATGGATATGGACCAGACTACAGTCATGATAAGCACTTTGGTAAGTATATGATAACACCAGTGTTCTCAAAAGGGAGTCTGGACTTTACACAGGGATTTGTGACCATTGGCTGCTGTAGAAACTGTCCATTAGCTTGCTTACACAGTGCACAGCCTTATGCTTCAGAGTGCTCCCTGGGTGGCCTTTAAGGAAGGTCCAAAGTAGTGGAACGCCTTCCCAAGAGAGCAATGCTCCTTTCTGTGGCTCCCCTGCCATTCTGTTCAGATGCTGAGAGTAGAGAAAATACCTGAACCTCATGGTGTGGAGGATTGCAAGACTGTGTCTGGTGATTGGCCCATATGCAGGGACGTATCCACCACAAGGAAAACAGGGCATTTGCCTTGGGTGGCACTTTGCATGGGGGGGGTGAGAAACAGAACGCCGTTGTTCCCTGAGGGTTCTTCTGTGCCCAGTGCGTTGCTAAGCGGGGGTCTGTGGTGGCCTCCACAAGATCTCAGGTGGGCTATGCAGAGTCTGTGGTGGGCTTGGGGAATGCTACTGATTGGGACTTGAAAGATGAGACTTTACAGTGGGAGGCATTTATCACATCTGGAGCAGTTGTCCGTAGTAACCAATCAGCTTCTCTTCTGTTTGATCAGCTAAGTTTTGAAAGAGAAGCAGATTGGTTGTCATGGGCAACTGCTCCAGATGCTACCTGCTCCAGTTTTGATAAATTCCCCTTGATGAAAGTGTTGGCTCTTCCATAGTGCTCCACTACTAGTCCCCCTATATTCTCATCATACTCTATAAAATTTAATTTTGTACCACCAACTATGTAGTGCAGGGAAGGTGGAAAAATGCACCTTACCTGTGTAGGCAAAAATGTTTGCACCAGCTCTGGCCCCTGACCTATGCTCCACAGCGTGACGGTGTGGTCTCTCACTGGGTGGGTAGGAAGCTGGGTGGGGGAAAAAAGTTTGCTCAAGATCCAATCAATAATAAAGATGGCCCTGTCTAAATGGCAATGTCGTCCAACCTACTCTGCTACAGATCCATCTTGTGATGGGCCCTCTCTGGTTCTAAAGGACCTCTTTTGTCACTGTTACCTTGAGAAAGGGACCCTGTGGGGACCCAGAACGTTGGCTGTATAACCTAATGTGACGTATTTCAAATGGACTAAATTTGCCCCTTGACTTTTGTGCTGGTGACTTTTTATCATCTCGAGGATTTACATGGCCCCATGTGTTGTCACTATGCAACAATAGGACAGATCTAGCAAGGTGGTGCACAAAGAGTGTAGATGGTTTCTATACCTCTTCCAGATGTTCTAACAGTTTCATAACTTTGTTTTCTTAGGCTCCGACTCCTACACCGTCTCCAGCAACCAGGATGAGATCATGGCTGAGTTGTATAAGAATGGCCCGGTAGAGGGTGCCTTCACGGTGTATGAAGACTTCCCGAACTACAAATCTGGTAGGAGACTTACATTCATCTCGGCTATACATTCTTTGCCATGCGTGGCTGAAGACCCACTTAGCCTATGCTCCCCTGTCTGCCCCGGTGTGTTCCTATGAATGATTCTGCATATGTGAGGATGTCTTGAAGAGGCAGAATGGCCCAAGGATGACTAAATGGTCCACAGAGGATGAATGTCAATCATACTGCTCTTGTGCACTCTTGTTGGTGTCTGTGCATGCCTACCAATGGGTACAATCAAAATACAACTCCAAACAAAACTTTTCTAGATTAGTGTAGAGTAGGGAATGGTTGGTCTGGTTTTTATTTCCATTTTACCATTTGGGGAGCTCTACCATTACCAGTCCTGGTGACTAGTCACTGCTTTCCAAAGAGAAAGTGTAAGATTTTACTGTTGTCACCACCTTTTTTAGAGTGGAATAAGTGACGTCTCGACGTGGTGACACTCGGTTACCGCTCCGGGTGTCACACAGCCTCGGGACGCCCCTGATGGGGGGGTTCATAGTTTATGAACTGGGATTAGCTTTTGAGTTTAGCCATGAGCTTGATCTGAACCCCCAGCTTATTCAGTTTGGCCAACAAAGACCAGACTGGAAGCCCTACATTCAGCGGTGGTATGACTACTGCCAGTAAATGACAGCTTTCCAGCGAGCATCCCAGGTGACATTGACAAAGTTGGTTATTATCAAGACACTGTTTTGGTCAGTCATCTCACCGGCATCGCCAGCCAGTTTAACATTGGCAGCTGGCTGGAGACTGTGTATGACTGGAGTAGATCACGATGTGGGTTGTCGTGGTGTTGCTCTTTCATCATGGGTGAGGCTGGATCTTTATCACTGGATGATGTGATTGCCATTTTGAGTAACCAGAGGTACCATCAGCCAGTTTAACATTGGCAGCTGGCTGGAGACTGTGTATGACTGGAGTAGATCACGATGTGGGTTGTCGTGGTGTTGCTCTTTCATCATGGGTGAGGCTGGATCTTTATCACTGGATGATGTGATTGCCATTTTGAGTAACCAGAGGTACCATGTAGGCAGTTGCCAGTGACAGGGCAGCCTAACTGGCTGCAGGATAAAGTGGGTTAATAAGTGTATATAACTACTTTCAGTGATTTTGATATGTTTATATGTAAATATGTTCAGCACTGTTTAGCCTCTACAATGTCTCCAGCACCATTTTGGAGAAGCCTGGTGTCCTGATTGGACAGGAAATCTCGGAGATTTGGTCGGCCATTTTGGGGTGGTTATCTTATATAGGAAAGACAACCACGTTTGTAGTCATAACACGTGTGGATGCAGACAGGGACAGAGACCCGCTTGTGAGGGAGAGTCAGGAAAGTGCAGGGAGAGTGTTCCAGCCTGTGAGGGATAGTTCAGGGTTCCTACGGAGTCCTGTATCGGTAATCCGGGTCGGATGAAAAGACTCCCAGGTGTTTATAACCAAACCAGTGTCTCCGCTGTGAGTGCGGGAAGTGTGTGCCAGACTCCTATCTCCCTGTACGGAACGAATATCGCTGCTTCCGGGTAAAGTGCTATCAGCCTTACAGATACGTATTGTGTGCTTGGGTTTAGACTGTGCCAGTCCGTGGGAAGTGTCTAGGGTGCTAACGAATCCCACTACCGCTTACATCTGAAGTGACTGTACTGTGTACCTG